TTTTGTCTAATTTTATTCCATAGATGAATGAGTCAAGTCTCTACATTGGTTTTTGGTTTTTTTTGTTGTTTTTTGTTGTTTTTTTTTTTTTGTTTTTTTTTGTTTTTTTTCAGAATTTGTGTCTAATTTTTAAAAAACTTTATGGAGGTAAAATCTAAGTACAAGAAACTACACATAAAGTATACAATTTGATTAGTTTTCACAAGCATGTATACATCTTAGAAGTCATTACCATAACTAAAACAACAAACATCTATTCCCCTCAAAAGTTTCTTTGTGGCCCTTTCCCACACAGCCTGGCAATCACTGCCTGATTTCTGTCACTGTAAATTACTTTGAATTGTCTACAGATGGAATGAACAGAGTGTATTCCCTTTTCTTGGCTTTTCATTCAGCATAAGGATTTTGAGATTCATCCACACTGTCATGTTTCTTTTTTTTTTCTTTTTGTCTCTTTGAGACAGGGTCTTGCTATGCACTTCAGGCCGGCCTTGAGCTCACTTTGTAGCCCAGGCAGGTCTCAAACTCGCAATGATCCTCCTGCCTCAGCCTCCCGAGTGCTGGGATTACAGGCGTGCATCACCACACCCAGTGTTGTCATGTTTCACTAGTTTATTCCTTTTTAGTGTGGAATTCTAGTCTATTCTATGGATATACCACAATTTTTTATACTGTCACCTCTTGGTAGACTTTTAGGTTATTTCCAGTTTGGGGCTATTACAAATAATGGTATTTATGGATGTTTGTGTATGAGTCTTTATGTCACCATATACTTTCATGTCTTTTTGGTAAATATCTAGGAATGGTATGGCTCTGTTATATGGTAGAAGGATGTTTATGCAACCTCAGAATGGCTTTCCGTCATGGCAGTACCATTTTCCTTCCCTCTGGCAATGCGCAAGACACCTACCCTGCTTCACATCTTCAAAACTTGGTTTGGTCAATCTTTTTAATTATGGTCAATCTAATTGGTACATAGTGATGGCTCACTGTGGGTCTCATTTGCACTTCCCTGTTGACTAATGAGGTTATTTTTATACGCTTATGAGACATTTTATATTTTCTTTTGTGAACGTTTAAAACTTTTGCTCATATTTCTGCTTATTTTTATCATTATTTAAGACATTAATGTCATAACCAAACATATTTCAGAACTCACATTCAAGAGTCTTACATATTTTATCTTACAGCAACTTATTTTTAAAAAGTATTTAGGCCTTTGATCTATTTTGATTTTAATTTATTACAAGGTGAGAGATACGGATCCAGTTTCAATCTTTTCCATTTGGATGGTCAGTTTTCCCAGCACCACTTGCTAGATACTATTTTTCCTCCAGCATGTTTTTGGCACCTTTGTCAAGAACAGATAGCTGGGGCTGGAGATATAGCTCAGTGGCACAATGCCTCCCTGGCAAGGACAAGATCCCGAGTTTGACTCCTGGTTCCAAAAAACAGAACAAAACAAAAACAAAACAAACAGGTATCTGAATGTGTTCTGGACTCTTTCTGCATCCTCTATTCTGTCCCACTGACCTACACATCTGTTTCTATGCCAGAAGCATACTCTTATCATGGTACCTTTGTAATATAATTTAAAGTCAGACATTGTGATGCCACTTGCTTTGTTCTCACTTGCTTTTGCTACTCTAGGTCTCTTCTAGTTCCATATGAATTTTAGTACTATTTTCTACATTTCTGTGAGGAATGCTTTAGGTACCTTTGATTGGGATTCAGTTAAATCTATGTATCAGTTTTGGAAGTGGGGACATTTTGACAATATTAGTTCTATCTAGGAACAGAAGGTATCTATTTTCTGATGTACTCTTCAATCTCATTTTTCATAGTACTGTACTTTTGTTTTTATATTTGTAGAGGTCTCTCACTTTCTTAGTTAGATTAATTCCTAGGTATTTCACTTTTCTTGAAGCTACTGTGAATGGTATGGTTTTCATAATTTTCTCTCATCAAATTCATTATTGGTGTACACAAATGCTAATGATTTCTGTACATTGATTTTGTATCCTGCTATATGTTGAATTTGCTTATTAATTTTAAAAGTCTTTTGGTGGAATTTTCAGATCTTCTATGTAAAGGATAATGTTATCTGCAAATAATAATTTTAATTCTTCCTTTCCTATATGTATCTCTTTTATGTCTTTCTCTTGCCTGATTGCTCTGGCTAATTTCTGAGGACTACGTTGAATGGAAGTAGTGCTTGCAGACATCCTTCTCTTTCTGGATTTTACAGGAAAAGCTTTCAGGTTTTCCCCATTTAATATGATGCTGGCAGCTGGTTTGTCACAAGTGGCTTTTATCCGATTCAGGTAAGGTCCTTCTAGGCCTATTTTCTTCAGGGTTTTTTTTTTTTTAAATCATATATGGGTAGATTTTGTAAAAAGGTTTTCTGCATCTATTGATATTATCACAATGTTTTTGCCCTTGCTTGTTTATGTGGTGTATTACATTTGTTGACTTGCATATGTTGAACCATCCTTGCAATTCTGAAATAAAACCTGTTTGGTCATGATGTATGATCCTTTTGATGATGTGTTGCATTCTATTTGCCAATATCTTACTCAGGGTTTTTTTAATCTATTTCCACTAAGGATATTGGCCTATAGTTTTCTTTTTCAGTTGCATTGTTGTCTGGTTTGGAGATCAGAGTGACGCTGGCTTTGAGATATGAGTTTGGAAGCACTCCTTCCCTGTCTTCATTACTTTTCTCTCGTCATTGCTGAGACAAAATACCCAACACCCAAAATTAAGGAAGGAAAGGTTGGTTTAGCTCACAGTTTGTGGAGGTTTCAGGCCATACTTAGCTGGCTCCAAGGCACAGTGGCACAGCACAAGGACAACAGTTCAAGGCAGCAGAACACAGAAAAAGCAGCAGGAGCAAAAAGCGGGGGAGCAAGCCTCTTTTCCTCCCTTGTATGCAGGCTACCACCCTAGTGTGGATCCTTCACACCCACATCATATTCATGCCCTCCTCTTGCACAGACTCAGGATGTTTACAGTGTGAGAACCATGGCCCCCTGCTGAGCCTGCCCAGTTAAGCTTCTAAACTTCTCAAGTTGACACAATGTATCAACCATTACATTCCCTTTCAATCTCATTGAAGTTGAAAGTGAAGTTATAATATCCTTAAAGATCTTGTAGAATTTAGCAGTGAATCCATCAGGTCCTGGGTTTTTCTTAGTTGGTAGGTTTTTTTATTACTGCCTCAATTTGATTGTTATTGGATTTTTCAGAATTTTTATGTCTTCTTAGTTTAGTTTTTGTAATTAGTATAAGCCTAAGAATCTGTCCATTTCTTTTCAAGATTTTCCAATTTGCTAGAATACAACTTTTTGTAGTACGTACTGTCTTCCAAATTTCAATGGTATGCCTTCTGATTTCAACTTTTTCATTTCTAATTGTATTGATTTTTTTTTTCTCTTTTGGAAGTTAGGATAAGGATTTATCTATTTTGTTTATTCTTTTAAAGAACCAGCTCTTTGATTCATGGATTTTTTTGGTCTCCATTTCAGTAAATTCTGCTTGGATTATGACTTCTTTAAATTGAGTTTAGGTCTGGATTACTGTTGTTTTTATGAGTATCATGAGGCGCATCATTAGGTTATTTGAGCTCAATTTGTTTTCCTAATGTGAGCACTGATTGCAAAAAACTTCTTAGGACTGCTTACATTATGATGAATTGTACTGGCATCCTTGTTTGATTCCAGAAATTGTTTCTTTTTTTGAATAGAAATTGTAATCTCAGGTTTTTTGACCATTCTTTCCATAGTTATGACATCAGCTTCAGGAATTATAGTATTCAAACCCCTCCATCACCATTTTCCTTTAAAATTTATGAGTGTTTATAGATTACCAAATGATTTGGCTTTACTGATTGTTTTTCAAGTTTTTTCTTTATGTCTCAATGGTCTTCCTTTTGTGGCTTATGCCAGTGACTACTAAAGAATGACTTTTTGATCTAATTAATGAACATTAAATTCAACTTTAATATTATTGTGCTTTCTGCTGGTTTCATATTGTCAATCTTCATAGTTGAATCTTTTTCTTCTTAAAACACAATGGTTGGGTTCATGTTTGATGTACTTGACAAGTTGCCTCATAATACCTGCATTTGTATCATTTAAATGTAGAGATACACGTGGTTTTGTTCTTAATGATCTCACTTCATGAGTTCTGTTTTTGATTCTTCTTTGTATTTTTAGTTCCACAGGTGATTGTCCTCAAATTCCTAATAATTATTTAACTATATATAAGTACATTTGTATTGCTCCCAACTTCTATCCTCAGTTATCTTCCATATTCCTGATAGCAATATATTTTATTAGGCATTATATATAGCTTTTTGTCACTATATAAAGCTTTTCTTTGAAGCTTTTCTTTTACATCTACAGCAATTATTTTAATCATAGTTTCTAGAGTTATTTAAATGTATTTCTACTTAGATCTTTTTCTTGTGTTTAAGTGGGTTATCATGAACAATTTATGTACTACTAATTAGTAAGGAGCTTGGTTCAAAGAAAGGGCTCCACAAATGTAACTTTTTGTGTTATTACTGCCTGAATCAGATTAAATAATTAAATAAGTATTACTAGTTCCAACAGTAGTCTCAGCCTTTCAATTTACATTTTGAGTAACTGATAAATCAGAACAAAATCATGACAAAACTGTAAATCCAAAATCTTAAGAACAACTTTCTCCAAACTTGAGTTTTAAGGTTAATTTCTTATATAGTGGAGGAAAAGAAGTGGAATGTAAGTGGAATAAAATTTAAATGTGTTACTTTCTCTGGCTCACCCTACAGGTTCCAGGGTATTTTAAATCTCAAAAATTGTGTCAAGGTAGGACACGTGACAGCTGAGCAAAAAGACAACAGCTTTGGTAAGTGAAAGCAGATACTGGGAAGGACCTGAGCTGCTTGTGGAAATTCCTTTTAATTAGGAGTGCTTTCAGCAGCAGGTAAACAGTAACACAACAGTGACAAACCATCATAACTCTTTTCTTTATTCAACAATACAGAAGAAGTCTCAGATTGGTTCAGCTAGGATAATGGATTTAGGATCTTTATCTCTTCCTACTTAGTCACCCTCAGAAGACTGGCCTTTATCATGCTCTAGTTTAGGGTTAGAATTATGGTTGTCCTATAAACAAGCAACACAACATAATTAAGGCATCACAAACAGGAAAAATGGGAATAGGGCATAAAGGATTTTCACATCATGCACTTGTTTGTTTAAATCAGGGGCATGTGTCCTTCTCACAGCTCCTCTAACAGTCAAGGCATTATCTGGAGCAAGTAGCATAACCAGCTCAAATGAACCACGCGGGTGATGGTCATGACTGACAGAGCAAGCCTGGCTCATCACTAAGGAATGGGATGCAAGCAGACTAAACAGACAAAGGCATATTCTGCAATTGTTTTTGCTTTTGACTATAACAACTGTTTGAAGATTAACCCTCTCACACACCATACATTTATCAAGTTCTGACTGAAGCAACACATCCTGACGAAACCATCTGCAAACCACACATGCCTAAAAAGATAAATAATCACTCCTCCAATTATTCAGTTCTTACTCATATCCTGTTTTGTCTCAAGTTATAGCAACACCAGGAAGCACAATGTAGTGAAAGTAATAGGCAGCTGGGTGAAACCAACCGATGATTCAAACCCTGGTTCCACTGCACATCACCTCAGTATGTGACAAGTCGGGCAAGGGACTGGAGCCTGTCCCTCAGCTCTCTGAACTGTAACATATGAAGACTGTATCTTCCATATAAGATAGTCGTGGAAACTAACTGAGAGAGTGTATGGAAATCATACAGACCTCCCATGACTAGTAAATACAATCCAGCCAGGCACTGATTATGTTGGTGTCTGTGTATTAGATTGCTGATAGAAAAGTAACATACTTTCTTCTTTATAAAAGCTTATGTGCAACTGGACAACGAAGGTAACTGTAGCAGAAAGGGCACTGAAACACTTAAGGGCTATTTTTTTTCAAACTGTTATCAAGTATACACGATCATACTCAGGGGTTCAAAGTAAAATTTTGATTGCCTTTATACTGTGGACTACCTAATTAGTTCCTGATGCATAGTTTGGTTGTAACCAACAGATGTTTTAAAAATAATAAGGCTTATAATAGGGATTATTTATTAAAACCTTCTGAGTTTACTAATAGGGGAACAGTTGGTGTAGAATGATTAAGAATATTTACACACTGATTTTTAAATTGTGTGATGTTGTAATGATCATTATAAAACAAGAGATCACAATTATTGGGTGCTTCTACCCCAGGTTTTATTCTAAGAACTACATGGATTCTGTCATTTTATGTCCCAAACAGTCCTATTAAGTAATCACTATTATTATCCCTATTTTCCTGATGAGAAAATAAAGACTAGTGGAAAAAATTCCATGTATTTTTTCCCACTGCATTGCAAAGCTGAAGTCAGACAAAATTGGCTTGAACGCAAGAATTTTGGTGTCAGATCCTAAAGTCTTAAATGGTACATCATACAATTTTTCTGTGGAAGCTCACTGGCTTAACTACTGGCGTAAGGCCAATATGAATTGGTTTGTCTACATGAGCAGAAGACAGTTCATTCTCACAGGCATCGCTGATCAAGTTGAGTTTTGCATAACTGGATCAGGAAGAGAATGACGGGGAGGGGCACAGCAGGTAGGGACAGAGGCACCCATCATGGAAGGTCCTGGATCACATGTGTCACTCTGCTCCACATCTTCAAACGTCTGCTGCTCATTGCTAAGAACAAGACGAGTGCATTCCATCTCACCAACAACCTTCATGAAAACATTGTTTGAAGAAAGTATGTAAAATTTAATTTTAGATACGGCAAGTTCAAATACATCATTTAATACTGTATTAGAAAAAAGACCTTGTCCTACATGGGAAACAGTGGAGTACAATAGACCATCACAGTAGTATATTAGAATATTGAAATATAAAAACACTTTTAAGTACACATACTGTTTGAGGATACTTTATTAAGATCAAAGATTTTCCCTTACATTTATTTATACATCTTTCCTAGTCCCAAAGAAAATAAATAATAAAAATGTGTATCTTCAGGAAGATTTTTACAACACTGTTTCATAAATCTGAATAGTCTACATGTCTGTCAATTTTAAATGATTACAATTTAGATACAATCATTATACAATGCCAGGAATGTCAGCCTTAAAGATACCAAAATAGAAATATTGATCAGTAAAAGCATAGTGAAAATTATATTCAGTTTTACCTGTTTATTTTTAGCCAACTCTAATTTGTCAGTTGTGGGAGCACAGAATTTCCTTCTTGGTCTTGGAATGAATATATATATATATATATATATATATATTCAACTATATGTATATGTAAGTATTTGAAAAAATATATATATACTTGAAAAATCAATCATCCCTCTTCTCTCAAACAGTGGCTGACACTCCATCTTGCAGGCAGACTGCTAAGTGTGGCACGCAGAGCTCTTCTCCTTGGGTGAGAGGGGAATTGCAAGTGAAGAAAGCAGAGGATCAAGGGCCTTTTGCCACCGTTAACCACAAGTCCTGGGAGTTGGCCTTGTCTTATTAAATTTTAATGAAATCTCTTTCTAAGCATCAAGAATAAACACATGTAAGGCTATGTTACCACTCAATTTCTGAAAATTCCCTTCCTTTCATTATTTTAAAAATATTGTTCAGTTCTGATTTTTAAAAAAAGAAGGAAGTCTGGGCAACTGCATTTTTATAACATATCCATCATCACCACCACCAACCAAAAAAAAACCAATTTCTACCACTCTACACTATCGCTACCTGCAAGTAAAGAACCGAGGCAGTTATCTGCAAATGAAGAAAAAAAAGATTGATGTAAATATTTGATAGAAAAGAATGTGAGCTGTCCAAATTATCCAGAGGATTGCCTATATTATTATACATTTCCCATCATTCTTTGTACAAGGGACTCTTACTTCACTGGGAATTTCAGTCAATGTTCAAAGAATGAAATACTCTACCCAAACCTCAACTTAAGACTTGCACGTTTCTTAATCCAGCCACAGAGCTTTAAAGTACAGCTTCAGCATGAGATTCGGTAACCCCCTCCTCACTTTTTTAGTTTCCAAACTGAGTGGCTTGCTATTTAGTTAATGAACTTAGAACTCACTTGGATTATGTTGTTAGGTAAAATTTAGTCTGATTAACTATTTTGATGTGTGTCAGGGCCCTTGGCATAGTTTTTGTTCCTATAAATAATTAAAACATCTGAAGGAATCTTCAGATTTTGTTCCAAATTCTTTCAGAATTTGTTCCTATAGATAATTAAAACATCTGAAGGAATCTTCAGATTTTGTTCCAAATTCTTTCAAAATTTGTTCCTATAGATAATTAAAACATCTGAAGGAATCTACTAGAGAATGCTACCAAATGTGTAGTACACATATAACATGTGAAGGTCAAATATTTACATGGAATGTTGACCTTAATTTATAAAACTACTATTTTAAATAAGGCCATCTTTACATACAATCAATTTATTTTATGAATAGCCCCATTTGATAATTAAAAAAATATGCCTTTCAAACACTTCATAAATATATAAAATTTTACTACATTCTATATTCTTTAAACATGACATCTAAACTCTTTACAAAGCAACAAAAATAACTTTTTTCTATGAAACTCACTCATGCAATAATTTTGATTCACAGGATCTAACTGCATGCAAGAATGGCAGAGGATGTTCCCCTGTGGGAATTGGGGACATCTGTAGTATCTCAAACTGTATAGTTCACTTTGTTCAAGACCAGTAGTATTCAAGAAAAATGAGCAAGACTATCTAAATATTTACAATACAAGTGTCCTTCTGGAACTTCTTTATAATGGTGAGGTTGGGATGGTGTCTGACCAGTGTTAAAAATAATTTTTTGACAAAGATGTTAATGCTACATAAAAAGCTTTCTAAAACACATCTTAGCACAATTTAAATGTATGGTGACCAACTGCACTGCTTTAAAAACAATGATCACATGTTCTGTAACTGTATCATTAATACCACACGAAATGTTTTACATATCTTAGGGCAGGAATCACATTGTTATAATTTATTGGTATAAACTAAAGCTAGCTTACAAACAATGCTTTTAGCAACTACAGAAGTGTCTTCTGAGGACTTACATAAAAATGTCCTTTGCAAACACTTCCTGTCCTAAGATACAACAATTCTTACATCACAAGGAAAGGTTTTTAGTTATATTCATAACAACTTTTAAAAGTCTATTTTCCAAGATGTGTGCAGTGCTACACACCTATAATCTCAGCTACTTGGGAAGCTGAGGCAGGAAGGTCTCAGTTTGAGGCCAGCTTGGGTAACATATTGAGAACTTCATTTTAAAAAAGGTCTGTTTTCCCTTATTAAATATGTGTTCAGTCACTGATGTGTGCTCATCAGGACTTCTCAAGCTATAATATGAAGGCTATTCACTCAAGAGGCTCTCACTTTAAAAATTTTCACATGCACATACTGTGAACATATTTTGCAGAGGTAAGAAAACATTCATACTTTTTGAACAGTAAGGGGACTCTATCTTGAAGCCAGGCAGGTGAGATCTGTGATGACCCACGTGGAAATAGAGTGGCTTACTCATCTGCCTGGAGCTGCCTGGGGTGCTGAGTTCACAGCTTAAACTGCTACTGTGCCAACTGGACGGGTGCAGCCACCGCTGAGGCCAGGTGAAGTGTGGCACCCTGACATCTCCGGCTACATTGTAAAAATTCATCTCACAGCATGGAAACATATTAAAGACAACCACAGAATTTTGTCTAGAATACAGTATGTGAAAATCTTGATTTTTAGAACTTATGGTCACACATTATGTTTCAAATAAGGCTGTACAAAGATACAAACAGAACCGCCATCCAATTTTGACCAAGAATGTGCATCTATAACAGTGAGATAGATTAAAAAAACTCTACCACCAAAATGGCAACTGACTTAATCATGCACTCTATAAAAAAGACTTTTATGAAAATTCTTCTTAGCTATGAGTGTAACCAGCTCACTGGTATCCAATGGGTTTCAGTCTCTAATTTGTCAAAAGTTGTTTTTAGCTCATTAAATGCCATGGTGAGATCATCATTTATTATAATTTTGTCAAAAAGATGGCCATATTGACTTTCCATTATCTGTGCAGATTTAATCATTTCTTGAAAATCTTCTTCCTACAAAAAAGGAAATAGTATTAAAAACTTGGTTAACCAGGCAGGTATCCCTTCAAATCATGCAAGCATTCTTCAACAGGTTTACCTGATGCTATTCTTGTGTTCATCCTTACATCTCAGCCAGAAGTAAGTCACCTTTTTAAACCACCAGTCCTTCAGAAGCCCTACCTTCTAGACCTATTTCACTAATTTGCCTGTACCTAAACTCCTGAGAAAAGTCAAAACTCTTGCCTAAACAGGACAGTTATCCTCTTTGATATCCTTTTGCAGAGTATTGTAGATTTCAGTGTAAATCTCTTTTACTTCCTTTAGTAGATTGATTCCTAGGTATTTCTTTTATTCCTATGCTATTGTGAAAGGGAGTATTTACCTAATTTCTCTCTCAGTGAGTTTGTTATTTGTGTAACAGGAATGATACTGATTTTTGAGTGTTGACTTTGTATCCAGCTACGCTACTGGATTAGTTATTAAGTCTAGAAGTCTTTTGGTAGAGTTTTTGAGATCTTCTATGTAGAATATCATGTCATCTTCAAATAATGGTAATTTAACTTCTTCCTTTGCTATCTTTACTCCTTTTATTTCTCTCTCTTGTCTAATTGCTCTGGTTAATGTTTCCAGAGCTATACTGAATAGCCATGGTGATAGTGGTCATCCTCGTCTTGTTTTTGATTTAGAGTGAAAGTGTTCAGGTTTTGGTGATTTAGTATGATGTTGGCTATTGGTTTGTCATTGATGGCTTTTATCAGATTGAGATAATGACCATCTATTTCAATTTTCTGTAGGGATTTTATCATGAATAGGTGTTTAACTTTGTCAAATACTTTTTTCTGCATCTATTGAGATGATCATGTGATTTTTGTCTTTGGCTCTGTTGATATGGTGTATTACATTTACTGATTTGCATAGGAAGACCAAACACAGTGAAAATGGCCACACTTTCAAAATTGTTTTTACAGATTTAATGCAATCCCAATCAAAATACCATTAGCATGCCTTACAGAACTACAGAAAACAATCCTAAAATTCACTTGGAACCAGAAGAGACCTAGAATAGCAAAAACAATTCTAGGCAACAAAGGCAAGGAAGTGGGTATCACAATCCCTAACTTGAAATTATACTACAGAGCTACTGTGATTAAAAACAGCATGGTACTGGCAAAAACCAAAACAAAACCCAAGGACCAATGAAACAGATTAGAAGATGCAGAAACAAATCCTAACACACTCAGCGACCTTATCTTTGACAAAGATAAATTCATTCACTGGAAGAAAGCTTCTTTAATAAATGGTACTGGAAAAACTGGCTTTCCACATACCATAGACTAAAACTAGAGCCATGTCTATCACCATGCATTAAACTAAAATCAAAATGGATCAAAGATCTAAATATTAAAACAGAAACACTAAATCTACTGGAAGAGAAAATAGGTAGAATTTTTGAAGATATAGGTGTAAGCATATACTTCATGAACAAAATCCTGATTGCATGGGAAATATCACAAAGACTCAACAACTAGGATCTCATCTTATCAGAAAGCCTTTTCATAGCAAAAGAAATCACCAACAGAATAAAAAGACAACACACAGAGTGGAAAAAAATGTTTGCCAGCTGTTCCTCAAACAAAGGATTACTATTGAGAACATATAAAGAACTTAAAAATATCAGACCCCCCCCAAATTCAAAGATCCAATCCAAATATGGGCATCTGAGTACACACTTCTCAGATGAAGAAATACAAACAGCAAATAAATATGTGAAAAACTGTTCAACATTACTGATCATTCAAGAGATGCAAATTAAAACAACGCTGGGATTCCATCTCACTCCAGAAAGAATGGCTATCATCAAGATATCAATCAATAACAAATTCTGTGGGACTCCCATTGTTGGTGAAAGTGTAAACTGGTGCAACCACTGTGGAAAATAGTGTGGAGATTCCTGAAAAAACTAAGACTAGAGGTCCCATTTGACCAAGCTATTGCCCTTCTTGGTACCTTCCTGAAAGAATTAAAAGCATCATACCCCAGCAATATATGCACACCCATGTTTACAGCAGCACAATTTGTAATAGCTAAATCTTGGAAACAACCCAAATGCCCATCAACTGATGAACAGATTTAAAAGATGTGGTTTCTTTATACAATTCTTTATACTATTCAGCCATAAAAAGGATAAACTGGTGACATTTCAGGCTAAATGGATACACCTTGAGACCATACTCTTAAATGAAATAAATTGGATAAACGTGTAAATATCACATTGTCTCTCTGGTGTGAGAAACTGAAAGTGTACATATGAACCAAAGTATATAACAGACATTGTGAAATAAGAAGAAATTCTTCAAAAGGAAAGGGGAAATGGGGAGGGAAAAGAAAAAAATGAGAAAAGAAGGATAAAATGGAAACAAACCTTTGTAAATAAGTAGGGGAAGAGGGATTGAAGGGAGGCAAAGGGAGAAGAATGGGAAAAAAAGATGAATCAGGATATATCATATATAGGTACAAATTCCCTATGATGAATGGGGATCATTATGTATATCTAAATAGTACCAATAAACCTAATAATTTAAAGAAGAAGAGACAAGGAAAAGGAACAAAATAAAGTCAACTTAAGAATGAAACAAACAAATAGGGCAGCTAGCCACTAACTTATTACATCAATATGTTGTTCTTAAAATAGCTATTGGAAAGAATGATTTACTCTGGTGCTTTGACTGGTGGTACTGTTTGTGCGTACTCATAGGAAAGTATTCAAACACAAACCAACCATGTTTTCAGATTTGGATACATTATGAAAGGGTGGTTATGTTCCTCCTCTGGCTCACTAGAAGGGTTTCATGGCCACATTTTGACACCTGGAGGTTTTTTTTGGTACCAGGAATCGAACTCAGGGCTTCATGCTTGCCAGGAAGGCACTGCACCGCTAAGCTACATCCCTGGCCCCAGAAGGAGGTATTTTAGCTGACTATAAAACTCAACATTTTGTAAGTAATACATAAATATGAATGAGCCAAATCCTAAGATATATTATCTTCACAGATAAGCCTTTAAAACAATAAATAACTCTTCACATTACAACATACATATAATTTGACTCTGTATTTCAGTGTCACATGATTTCACAACAGAAAAAATTTTAGCATGAACCAGGAGCATTCAATAACTTATATCACAGTAGACAGCATCTACTTAACACAAATATATAGTCAGCATTTTAAAAAGAAGATCAAATACTGAGAATCAAAAACATGATCTCTGCTATTTTGCAACCACGATTAAGTTTACAGATTAATACCAACTGAAGATAAACATAAGCTAATTAAGAAGAGGAAAAAAGCTCTTCACATTTAACTTCTTTATTATCTTTGATCCAAAGGTAGAATGCATTATCTTGAGCGACTCAAAACAAATAATGAGAGGCCTTGTCGTGGGTATTAACATGTACTCACCAGTTCCAACGAACACTGACTAGAAATACAAACACTGCTGAACTAGTCCCACGTCCAAAATGGTGCTTTTTCTTTTTACTTCCCCTACTTATTTAGATATGATGGCTGATTCCAGTAGACAAAGCACATTCTTACAGATTTCATTTAGACTATTCATGATTAATAGTAACTGATCCAGGCATTTTTAGCTTGAAATATAAGGGTAATCTGCAAACAATTCAGTAATGTTTGGCCTACAGAAATCTAATATATATAATAGCATGAAAAACAGTTTTGAGTCAACTTACTATGAACATCCATTCAGAAGCGTAAAAGCAAATTACAATGCAGTTGTTCAAAAGACTTGTACCCACCAAGGTGAAAGAGTAGACAACAGACACCAATGCACTGTACATTTTGCATAAATCACATAAAGATTATATAAACTTGAGATGTAAATTAGTGCAGATTCTTTAGCCTCATTCAAGTTTCAGTTAATTTTTAAAACAAAATATATGAATTAAATGCAACTGTGCCTTGTACAGGTTTTTGGACCACAACTTCACCTTTAATAAGCAGTTGTGGTTTGCACATGGACCTTCACACGATGCTTTATGTGTCATACTAAGTATCATCGTACTCACTGTAAAGGGCTTCGCAGCACCCTGGTCATCTCTGCTTGAAATGATCTTTGCATTTTTCCTTGTCTCTCTCAAACGCTCTATTGATGGAGGCTTTATAAATATCACATAGGGCTTAAATTCGAGTGTCCTTAAATGCTTCACAGTCTATAAGGAAGAAAAGAATTTTCCTCACTTTTTATAATTAAATTTTCTTTTCTAAGAGAAAATTCATTAAGGTCAGTGGGTCTTTTGATATATTATTGTTCTGTAATTTTCTTTTTTTTTTTTTTTGGTACCTGGAATTGAACTCAGAACCTTGTGCTTGCCAGGCAGGCACTGTGCCACTGAGCTATATCCCCAGCCCTTGATATATTATTGTTCTATCAGTTTTTGATAAGTAAAGGCAACAAATACCCTTAAAAAGAAGCTGGAGAATGTAACTTACATTTCAAAATGATTTGAAATATACTATCATTAATACTGAACACAACTGGATGCAAATACCGTGAAACTCATTTTTAGTCAAATACCTACAGAATGTGATGAAGTAAAGAACCTCCTGCCCACGAAAGTCTCCTAATCATCCCATAGCCCTCTTCCCAGTGTCAAGCAGGGGTCCTTGTCCTTACTCCTGCCCCTCAGAGGGCCCTAAATGGGGCGCCCTACTCTCTGTCAGCTCCTCAGGTGTCTCCCCTTATTCGCACTCTTCCTCTGGGGATTCACTCATGGTCGAGGTGACCATAGAATGGTGAGAGCTGAGGGATGAGGGAGGTAAGGTCTCAGTCCAGAACCCAGGCAGAGCACTTCTGCTCAGCAGGGCCATCCCATTCACTGCTGGCTCCAGATTCACCCTCCCAAAGAGGTTCAAGGGGCTCCTACAGATCTCTCTGGCATCTGAAGTTTGTGCAATCCAAGCTACCATTCTCAGTGGAGGAAGATCTGTCTTCCTGGAGGGCCAGGCAGATGCTGTGTGTTGGGTATCACCTAGACAGTTGGGGGTATGACAAGGCACCCTCAGTCCAGGATGTTCATAGGAGTTCCCAGGGCAGTGGACAGAGATCCTTCTGGCAGCTGCCACAGGGCTCTCATGTAGTACAAGTCCTGGCCAATGCCCCACATCCCTAGGGATTTTCTATTTCTAGGAAATATTTGGGGCTAAAATCAAAGAAAGATGACTGACGAAACGTCCACTGTTAAAAATGATAAACACTTAATACGTAACACATAAATATATTACATACATAACAACACATGTATAATATAACATAAAATATGTATATAACAAGGTATTTTTTAAAATTATGAAATATATAGAAATACCTAGGAGTCACTGAACTGTATATAAACAAGAGTTACATGGATCTTGGGGCTTTTTCTACTCCATTTTTCTAGTAATGTGGGCTTTTTTTTCCCACCAAAGATGTTTCAAATTACACTGATATGAACAGACTTTAGATTTCTCTACCTCAAACTGCAGTGCTCAGAGGGAGTGCAGTGGATTACATGGGTCACAAGATTACTGAGTAGTTTGCCATTTACTTACATGAGGCTGAACATCTAACAAACAAACTTTGTTTTTAGCTAGGACAGACCGAACTGAATCTATACTCGTGCCATAGTAGTTGTTTTTATATTCACCATATTCGATGAACCTGTAGAAAATTAGAGATGCATCAGAGTCATTTGGGATTTAAAAAATAGGTGGCAGGATATCATTCATAGGTACAAGATATTTGTGCTGAACATGTAATTTTTTTACTGTGTTTAATAAAATAAATAGGACAAGTACTTCAGCATGTCAATTTTTAAAAATTCTTCTATCCTACATGTTCAAATCAGTAACACCTGCTTGTGTTACACTTAAGCCAAAAGAGAAAAAAAAAAAAAAAAGGAGCCCAGTGGAACTCTAATGTTTTTCCATCACCCCCTTTCTCAGAAGTAATGCAATGCAATAAAATAGTGAACAAGGCAAACAATAGAAACTACTGAAATTTCACTAGACACTGTAGAGTAACCACACTCGGCTTCAGAATGCCAGGAGCTGGGTGGTGGCTGATGGAACCAGTACAGCCGATTATGTGCTATAAAAACACTATCGTTGCACCAAACGCAAAGAAAGTATTTCAATGTTTCAATAAAATCCCACAATCCTGCATTAAAACACACATTGCTTCTGATACCCTAAAATATTCACGCTTAAGCACATGGAAAACTGGAGGGAAAATTTAGAGCTAACTAGTGAAGGTGATACATACAGAATAAGAACTTCATCCAATTTTTGAAGTGGCAATGTGAGAATAAAGTGTGTGTGTGTGTGTGTGTGTGTGTGAGATCCAGCAATATAGCACAGTTGCCCACTAATTTTTAAAATAAAATTCTACCCAACTTAAATGTTAAGATTAAATTAGTAGGGAGGAGAGAAGTGACAATAAGACACTAGCGAGCACAGGCTGCAAATCATCTCCTAAACCAGTGATGGTGAACCTGTTAGAGCTTTCATGCCATAGTTTCACCACCACTGTGAACACTTCAGGTAACATAAATGCAATAACCTACCGCTTATTTAAAAATCAAGGTTAAGACTGGTAACAATTATTGAATTTAAAACTTTTATGAGTTTCAGGTATGACAATTAAAATGTGTTTTAAAGGGAAAAGAATCTTGTCTAAAACCAAATGTACATGCACTTGCTTAGAAAACAATAGCCACATGAAATTTCTACCAAATTTCTTCTACATACTTGTTATTTTGTACATCTGTCTCAAACAAGTGCTTGGAAATGAAAATATATTCAACGCCATCACTCTCCTGGCTTCTTCTTGCCCTCGTAGTATCTGTGATTTAATAAAAAGTAGGATTTAGGAAAACCACATTAGTCACCTTAAAGAAAATATTATAAAAAGAACTCATCAAGTATATTTGAAGCAATTTTCTTCCACTGGATTTAAAAACTTATGAAAAGGTAAATTAGCTAATAAAATATGTTAAAGTGTCATAAATACAGATTTTCCACTATTACTAAAATTGGAAGATAGATTTAAATTCACATGTATTGTGTTTGAAGCCTCTTTAATATAATTAAGTACAAGTGGCATTGTAAACTCTTGAGGAAGAACTGTTTTCTTCTGCACATATGCTTATTATCTTATTTATTGCTCTTTATTCTTTGAAGCAAGCCTATTGTCCACTAGGTTGCAAGGAAAACTGAAATTATTTTGCTGTTTTACTCACACAGCGCATGGTAGTCTGCAATCAATGTTTTGTTCTCTGAATGAAGTTATTAACTGCTTTTTAACTTTATGCAGTTATAAACAGCATCTTATTAGAATATAGTTTAAATTCCACACTTTCAATAGTTTTTCCTCATTATTTGTTAGTGGTAGGGTGGCAAATAAAGGATTATCTGAGAACAACAATAACAGTGTAACTGAGAGAGTAACATGGATCTTTAAAATTAAGATTTTTTTTCTTTTAAGGATAAGCCACTTCTCCAAAATTCCTCATGCTGAGGGCATAAATCTCTACCTCTCCTCTGTCAGCCCAATGAATGGGCAGAAAAGAACAAATTAACTCTCCGGCTGAAAGGCTATGCAGATCTCCAGGACATCAGGTCCCTTTTAGTTGCACCCAGTGGGGAAGGAGCAGAGAATGTGGGTGGGAATTTTCCTTGTCCACTGTCTTACTGTATTCCTTTCCTCTACTCGCAATAAAAGTTTGCATCCCTGAACAGGGGCACTGGATTTGAGGTAAAGGCCTCTTGGTCTCCTTTGGAGCTAGCTTTGAATAGACTTATTTCCCACCAAGGACTCTCACCCACACTCTTGGGGAGCAGCAAGGAGAAGGGCATGAGTGGACTGGCAATGACATCACCCAAGGAGTTTCAGTACCAAAGGTGTCCAACAGCAAACCCTCCATAGCCCACCAGTCCAGCTGACTAACTATAACTTGGGACCCAAAAACAATTAAGCACTATGAAATAAGCCAGACAGGCAGACTATGAAGGGCAGTCAACCTGTATGGGGAAGGATTTAACTTCATCTTCCTCTTAGCTCTGCTGCTAAGGCTGGGACCATCACAGAGTGGAACACACTACCACCTCCAATAGAAGCCCAGGCTTTTTATGAAAAGAACCAAGAGTGAAAAAAGCTCCTGTGTGTGGAAGTGTGCGGTGGGAGTCCAGGAGGGAGAAATCCAGAGAAAGAAACACTTTAATTTTGAGCATGAATCAACATTAGTCTAAGAGCAGCAACCCCTGCCCTTATATTAGTAGCTCAGATTCAAAATAGCATAGGAAAGGTTTTAAGTTCTAAACTTAGAAGTGAACTGAGATTAGAATACACAAGTATTAGTTAGATGCAGTGGTGCATGCCTGAAATCCCAGGGACCCAGGAAGCTGAGGCAGGAGCCTGCAAGTTCCAGGCCAGCCTGGGCAGTTTAGGGAGACCATGTCTCCAAATTAAAAAAAATAAAAATAAAAATAAAAAGCAACAAGTATTCTAAGAAGGGAATTGAGAGTCAAATACACAAATCTCAGCCTAATCCTTAATAATGAGCATGGTACAAATCAAGCCAATATAGAAAATGTATAGAGAACTGAGCTGAGATATAAACCATGCCTAGACTAATCCTTGAATCAAGACAGACCTAATATAGCATAGCAAAGGTAAATGAGATAGAACTCAGGGTCTAAGTATAAATGGGTTCATTACCTTCTAAAATAAAAACATCAACATTCCCCAGGACCTAAATTAATACACTACATCGGGAACACAATCCAAAAGTATTTGACATAAAAACACCAAGGAAATATGACCAATTCTCTTAAAGAAAAATAATAGCTGGAAATCCTGAATGATCCAAAGCTAGAATCATCACAGACTTTGAAGCAACTATTAGAACTATGCTTCTGAAAGTAAAGGAAAAGATGCTTGAATTGCATAAAAATATGAATTTTTAGCAGAAAAACAGACACTGTAGAAAACAAAGTGCAAAATTTAGAACTGAAAAACTACAGTATCTCAAAGAAATCATTAGGTGGAGTTGGCAGCAGAATGGAGATGAGAGAAAACAATCAGTGAGCTTAAAAACAGATCATTAAAAAATTATATAATCAGGAAAACAAAGAAGAAAATGTTGAAAAAATATAAATAAAACTCGAGACCTTGGTGAAACTACTTAAATATCTACCATATGTATAATTGGAAGACATGTGCAACATGGAAGATGAAAAAAGTATTGGGTAGGAAAAAATATATCTAAAGAAATAATAGGTCCAGGACCTTGCTGGTCACTCCCTGCACCTCTAGTGAGCCTGTGGGCACCAGGCTGAAGCCCGGACATCCTCAGGAACCCCAGTGAGCCACCGCTGAGCCTCCCCAATCTGAGCGCAAGGCAGACGGAGCCCCAGGAACCTTCTGGGGCCTCGATAGCCACTCCCTGCACTCCTAGCTTGTCTGTGGGTGCTAGGCTGAACGCTGGACAGCTTCAGGAGCTCCGCCAAGCCTCCCTCACTGCTCCCGCACTGGCCTGGGAGCCCACTGAATGGAAGAAAGTTTTGTGAGCATCTGGGACCCCACCTTGCCCCCCCACACCAACACAGGAGCCACACTGAGCAATAGGGATCTTCGGAACCTCATCCTACCACTCTGATACAATCATGGGAATGAGGCTGGATCTTCAAAAATGACAAAACAAAGGAGCAAGATGCAATCTCAGACTTCTACACCACCCAGTACAAGTCCAGGAGACATCAACACAGAAAGATGTGGAAGTCATATACCTGAAATTCCTAAAATGATAGCAACTGAAGAAAAGAAAAAACTCCATCAGGCCATAGAAGATATCAGATCAGAAATAATCTCTCAGATAAAAAAAGAAATGATAACAATAATGAAAGAACTGTTCAGCATATCCAAAGAAGACACTGTTTCTGATGAGGAAACAGAGGAGCTTAGGCAACTCATGGCAATCTTGAGTGAACAAGATAGAAAAGAACTAGAATGCATGAAACATTCTAACAGATATCCAGGAAATTAAAAATTCCATTGAAAGCTGGCAAAACCACCTGAACAAAGCTGAAGATAGACTTTCAGACCTTGAAGACAGCACTGCCACTAATGAACATCAAAGGAAGGATCTCTTAAAAACAAGGAACCAGGAAATAACAATTCAACAACTGCAAGACAAAGCAAAGAAAAATAGTGTAAGATTAACAGGTAACCAAACAGTAGGTATCAACACAAATGACATAAAAAGACTATTTGCAAAAATAATAGCAGAAAATAATCCCAGCCATGGAAAAAGAATCGGACATACAGATAAGTGAAGCATATAGAACTCCAGTTAACCATAACCAAAATAAATCTACACCCAGACCTATAGTGATCAAGATCCCAGAAACTCAACAAAAGATCAGAATATGAAAAGCTGTTAGACAAAAGAAACAGATCACCTATGAAGGCAAACTCATCAGAATCATGGCAGATTTTTCAATACAAACCATCAAGTCAAGACGAGCTTGGAGTAAAATATTTGAGGTACTAAAAGAAAACAATTTGCAATCCAGATTGATGTACCCTGAAAAACTAGCCTTCAAATTTAATGGAGAAAAGAAATATTTCCACAATAAAGAACAAGTGAAGAAATTCATGAGCAGCAAACCAACCCCACAAAGAGTACTAAAAGATATCCTACAAAGAGATAAAACAGACCAGAACTTCAAAAACAACAGAAAAGAACCACCAAGCAGAGCAAACAATTAAACAGAGGGAAAAAGGAAGATACAACAGCAGGAAAATAACATGACAAAGATAAGCCAATACATATCAGTTATAACTATCAATGTAAATGGTCCCAATGTACCAAGCAAAAGAAGAAGACTGGCAGATTGGATCAAGAAACAAAATCCAACTATATGCTGTATACAAGAAACACATTTAACTAAAAAAGAAATTCATAGACTGGAAATTAAGGGGTGGAAAATGATACTCCACATGACAGGAACCCAGATAAAAGCAGATGCAGCTATTCTGTTTGCAGACAATGTGAACTTCAAGCTAAGAACAATCAAAAGAGATAAAGAAGGGGGTACAGAGATAAAAGAGATAACTACAGGGGCTGGGGATTTAGCACAGCGG